ACCGACAGGACAACTGGGACGGACTACTACCAATCGCCAAATTTTCATACAACAACAAGGACCACACATCAACAGGAATCTCACCCTTCAAAGCAAACTACGGATTCGAGCCTAGCTTCAACGGTGTACCATCGACAGAACAGTGCCTACCTGCGGTGGAAGAGAGATTGAATATCATCACCAAAGTTCAAGAAGAGCTGACTGAGTGTTTACTGATTGCACAGGAGGACATGAAGAAACAGTCCGATAAAGGAGTAAGACCCACACCCAAATGGCAAGTTGGAGACCAAGTCTGGCTCAGTAGCAAGAATATCTCAACCACACGACCGAGCCCCAAACTGGATCACAAATGGCTGGGTCCATTTAATATTTCAAACAGAGTGTCACGATCAGCTTACAAATTGAATTTACCACTCTCTATGAAGGGAGTACACCCAGTATTTCACGTATCACTACTCAGAAAACACAAACAGGACAGCATCGACGAACGAAAACAGCAAGAACCTCCCTCAATCAGAATTCAAGAGAATGAAGAATGGGAAGTTTCAGAAATACTAGACAGCCGCAAGAGATACAATAGGGTTGAATATTTAGTAGCGTGGAAAGGTTTCACGGCGGAACATAATTCATGGGAACCAAGCAGCAATTTAGAGAACAGCAAGCAATTGGTTGATGAGTTTAACAAGAAATTTCCAAACGCGGCCAGTAGACATAGGAGGACACGGAGAAAGAAGTGAGAGGGTAAGCTTTTTCCCACTGGGTTTTTTAACGCTACCCGGGGAGGAACGCAGAACTTTCAAGAGGGAGTTTGGGCGTAAAAGGGGGGATACTGTTATGATCTCATCTATGTAACAGTTGGTGAAAGGCTCAACACAACATGTCACAGATTAGAGACCACTTTGTATTTCTCTACGTTGTACACACCTCTCTTTTCTCTTCATCCGACAATCTGCATACTAATACGAGAACCTGGTGACAGAACCTGATAACCCTCGTCCCACGAACCCCAACACCAGTCCTAACAACTTAGTTGGAAAAATCTGCGTAGTTTACATTGATGACATAGTCATTTTCTCACAAAGCGTGGAAGAACATGAGGATCATCTGCGTCAAGTCTTGGAAAGGTTGAGATCTGCAAAACTCTACTGTTCCGTCAAGAAAAGTAAGTTGTTTCGTCGAGAAATTAAATTCTTGGGTCACGCAATCAGTGAGGCAGGGGCATGCCCAGACGAAAAGAAAGTAGAGAAGATATCCAAGTGGGCCTCTCCTTCCAATTCGAAACAACTCCTCAAATTCCTTGGGACAGTGCAGTGGATGAAGAAGTTCATCGACGGGCTATCTCATTACGTTGGTACTCTGACACCGCTGACAAGCACCTCATTGAAAGGTAAACCCTTTAGGTGGGGGGAAGCAGAAGAGAAGGCTTTCAACAACATCAAAAGACTCATCACGACCCTCCCGGTACTTTGCAATCTGGATTACGAGTCTGGTGAACCTTTATGGCTATTTACGGACGCTAGTGGAAGTGGACTTGGGGCGGCGCTATTTCAAGGAGAAAAATGGGACACCGCCTCACCCATAGCTTATGAGAGTCGCACTATGAATCCCGCTGAAAAGAACTACCCGGTACACGAGCAGGAACTTTTAGCGGTGATCAATGCTCTTAACAAGTGGAAACTGTTACTATTGGGCATGCGCGTCAACGTAATGTCCGACCACCACTCTCTGACTACCTTATTAACTCACCGTAATCTTAGCCGGCGGCAAGCAAGGTGGCTGGAGACTCTATCTCAATTTGACCTTGACTTTAGGTACTTGAGAGGCCAGGACAACTCAGTGGCTGACGCACTTTCCAGACGAGACGACATCAGTTCTTGTGAGTTGAAAACAACTTTGGGGAAGGTCGAAGTTCAGAAGATTCAGGATGGGTATACCAAGGATCAATTCTGCAGTAAACTCCGCAGAGTCCTACCTTTACGAGAAGATTGTATCTTGAAGGAGGGGCTGATGTACCTAGATGGAAGGTTAGTAATACCAGACCACGGCAATCTCCGTCGCGATTTCATCACGCAGGCACATAACGCACTAGGACACCTGGGCATTCTCAAAACCTTATCTCGGTTACGAACGACTTTCTTTTGGCCAAGCTTGGCAAAAGATGTAGAAGCTCAGTTAAAGTGCTGCGACTCTTGCCAGCGGAACAAAGCCCGGACGACAACTACATCTGGGAAACTGCAAAGCACCGACGTTCCGAGAAACCCCATGGAGTCAATTGCTATCGACTTCATAGGACTGTTTCCTAAGATATCTGGTTATGATATGATCCTGTCTTGTACTTGTAGACTGACGGGGTTCGTCCGCTTAATACCTGCCTCACAGAACGACACAGCGGAACGCTCTGCTGCACGACTATATGCAGCGTGGTCTTCAATTTTCGGCCTTCCCGCGTCGATTATCGGTGACCGCGATAAGGCCTGGACGTCTAAGTTCTGGAAACGTTTACATGAATTGCTAGGCGTCAAGATCAGCTTGTCAACCTCTTACCATCCACAAGCAGATGGACGGAGTGAACGGACCAATAAAACCGTCAGCCAGATACTTCGACACTACGCCGCTGAGAAACACGGCAAGTGGTTTCAATCATTACCGGCGGCTGAGTTTGCTATTAACTCCGCCGTAAATGTATCCACCGGAGTTTCCCCGTTCCATTTCGTCTATGGTAGAATTCCACGGCTCTTCCCGATTCAGAATCCTTTGGAAGAAGACAATCAAGATATCAAACATTGGATTGAAAGACGGCAATCTGAGTGGGCAACGTGGAGGGATCGGGTTTGGAGTAGTCGAGTAGACCAGGCTGCCCAGTACAACCTCCGTCGTCGAGAAGGAAGAGTTTTCAAGGTGGGAGAGCAGGTTCTGATTGACAGTACTGACAGGCAACAGGTGGTTGGAGGACGGTTCAAGCAAACAAGCAAACTTCGAGCACGCTATGATGGCCCATATGAGGTATTGGAGGTACTGAACGCTGGACGAGATTACAGACTCCGATTGAAACCACACGACCTCACCCATCCCGTCTTTCACATTTCAAAATTAAAGGTGTACCATTCTGATCAGGCTCGAGGAACCAACGTTGCGGCCATAAATGTGGCCTCGTCACGACCAAAAACAACCCCTGGAGAGACTCGAGAGGAGCCCAAGGGGCACGCTAGGAATTGTGACGAGGGGGTGTGTATCAATGATGATACGTTAGCACCCCCGCAATGTGAGTGCGATATTTCTCTTAGACCCTTTCCTGTCGAAATTATTGGCAAGCACTCCTCTCTCCTGAATAACAGCTTAACAACCGACAACCACCACTCACGACTCGACCGAAGTAACTGGAGGTCACTCATTGCAGCCACCGAGAGGGCTTTGTCAACGCCGAAAGAAACCCCTTCAGGTCCTGGAATTGGAGCCCCTGGGGCACGTTAGGCAACTTGACAAGGGGGTGTGCTTCTAAACGACGCATTTGCACCCCCGCAATGTGAGTGCGATATAAATTTTATTTTTCCATTAGCGTGTGAAACAGCTGGCAAGCGTTATTGTCTCCTACTTAACAGATTAATTTTGACGACGCGGGGATACTTGCAAGACTAAGCGTACAAGAATGAAGATCATTAGGATACCTAAGAAATTCAATTTTAAATTACTTCAAGGCTCAAGTTCAAGACTCACAATTACACGATTTTTTTCTTCATCAAACTAATATTTTAATCTTTCAACAAATTCTTTTCTTTTTCTCTATTTCAATTTTTGCGGTCATGACAATTTTCTTTTTATGATTTCTATTTTGAATTTTTTTTCTTTTCTTTCTTTTCTCAGGACGAGTCATAGTCAACATTTCAGGGGCGAGTTATGCCAATTTTTCTTTCTTTTTTTCTTTTCTCAATTTTCTTTAGGGGGGGTATATCATACGGTTACAATTATTTTTAGGAAGGGAGGGTGTAAGGGTACACAGGTAGACAAGTGGCTATGGGGTTAGACTATGGGATTAGACATATTAGAGTACACTATCTTCCTTCACGCCCGGCTTCGGATGGTTCCTTACTCCTTCGAGAGCATCATTTCGGACCATCTGGAGCTAGGTGAGCTTATTTCTCTTCTTACTCCTTTGGAGCATTTCTCTTGTTATCTTGTTAGTTGTTGTGTTGCTGACTCCTTCGAGAGCATCATTTCGGACCATCTGGAGCTAGATCGTAATAGAAACAGAAGTTCCAAGTCCATCGCTCTCGTGAGAAGTCGTGCCGGACTAGTTTCCGGACCCCCAGTGAAGGTTCTCACGAGAACCTTACAGTATTTCTGTCAATACTTGAAAGACGCCCATAACGGAGCCAGATCGGCGTTTCGAGCCCTAAGCCATCTCAACGAATACAAGCCTGTCACAAAAGGTGAGCTCCATTACATTGCATGCCCAAGCAGATCAATGACTTCAATAATTTCATTACACACAGGGATTCTTCGTTTATACTAGTTTCTGCAAATGGCAAGGTCTGATTTCAGCTGCGGACCATGTGGTCTCATGTTCCCTGATAAGACCAAAACCGACGAGCACCATCGCCTGAAACATCAAGCACATGTTAAAGTGAGAACTATGCATGGGGAGGAAATTCAAGTACCTCGCGGCAATGACGGAGCTTTCCATTGCCCGGTGCCAGGATGTGTCCACTTGGTGTCTAATCCACGCAACCTAGGTACCCATGTCAAGCGGTGCACCGGGCCGGCCGCTCCAGAAACCCGCCGCCCTATTCACAATTTTGATGGTCAACTTGTGCGTGTGGTGCCGCACGGTGCAGATATTAAAGGTGAGCCAAGTTGTTTCACTGGACATGTAGAATACTAACTCATGATATGTTTTGATCACACCAGTCAATGAAACATTGCAAAAATACGACCTTGTTTGGAATGAGCGGTGCCGAATTCTGATTTGTGCCACTTGCCACATTGGTTTGCCCTTCCAAGAAATGCACTCGCATCACATGAAGGATGACCACTCACGGGTAGTTGAAAAGGCATTCATGATGGCGGAGTTGCAGGAATACGAACCCCTGATTGCGGCCGGCCCTTTTCCACCAGGACATGTAGAAGGTCAAAAGGACAAGCCTATTGAGGGGCTGCTGCTGTATGACGGCTTTACATGCAAGCTTTGTCACAAGTCTTGGAAAACCATGAAAAGTGTCATTAATCACTTTATGATTCACCATAAATGTGACTTTGAATTTTATTCACCTGCAGGTCATACCTCAAAGCTGATGATCACTTTGTTCTTCTATTTCTACAATGACTGACCAGATGTCTCGAAAGCCCGACAAAGGCGTGTCCACATCCAGGCTGACAAATGTCAAGGATTATATGGACATGTCCATCGCCGTTGGTTTCCAGTGCTCCCGTACATTAGGCAACACACCGAATTCGACCTGCCCCGCGATAATCAAACACCTACCCCTGAACTTGGCAGATCAGAGGCTGTCACGCTGCTGTTGGAGAAGCTGGAATCATGTGCGGCAGAGGAAGCTGAGCAAAGCCCTGACTCGTTATTCGACGAGGATATGGCCAACTGGGTCTATGTGACTGGGATTTATACCTATACCCAAGGATTATTGGCTAGTGGGAAAAGCTGTGAGGAGCTGGTGGTAGCAGGTGCTGGCAACGAGAATGTGGAGTCCATGGTGGCTTACATAGCAACATGGATTAATAATACTATGAAGCGGTTGCATAAGACTGGCCAGCTACTGAAACGTATGTGTATGGCAGAAACATCGTACGTATCCCCCTACAGTGCCCACAATTGACCACAGAGTCCACTGACCAGGCAACATGTGTTCTTTGTCAGTGAACTTGAGGACAACAAAGCACTCATGCCGCTGCAAGAAAAGGCATCAGTTTTCAAGTATGCGCGCATATTGGCCACCTTCATGTGGTTCTTGATTGAGCAGGCAGAGGATCCCCTGGATGCTGACATGGAGATCCACGATGTCACCAAGGCCCAGATTTTGGCACTGCGAGATGTTGTGCTACACCTGACTGCCCCGGATACCGACCCCTCTCAACTGGATTTCATGCCAGCCACCGAGGATCATGTGTCTAGCCATGTGTCTGGAATCCTATGCTCTGTCTTTCAAACGTATTGTGGGGGATGGGCCCAACAATATCAACTACCTCCAATGGCATTCATAGCCTTATCAGTTTTTAAAGAAGATGGGACTTATGACAGCCCCAACCTCATCACGCATCTGATTGCTGCCATGCAGTATGGCACACGCTTGGCCTTTGCTGAACAGTACCTAGATGAACCCCGACCACGCTTCAACCCGGCTGCTGATCCAACGGTGCCCTTAGAGGACAATACTCAAAAGTTTGAATTTCTTCGAAAGGGTGGACCTGGCCCATTTAAATACGTTAGGCAACTTATGCATCTAGTTAGTACTGTAATCTTGTCTGAGGCGCTTCCGGACACCACCTTTTGGACGGACCACGAACATGAAACTGTTGAGGTTGATAATAAAGTAGTTACTGTCACCGGCATCCGAGATTGCATACATTCACAACAGAAGCGTGCGCAAGAAGACTTGAGTCAACTTTTGAAAGGATGCAAGATGCCACTCTTTGACACATCATTGTACAAAGATGTGGCAAATTTCAGACAGCCAGGCACCAATTTCTTGAATCACTCGGGATTGGAACATAGCAAGTATGGACTTCATTTGTTGAAAGAATGGACGAGGAAGAAAGATGTTCATGGATTGTTAGCTGAGCGATGGGAATCCAAGCTAGATGAGGGAGTGACTGTTTATGACAAGAGTATTTGGAAGGCATCAGCGGTGTGGGACTGGTTGGAGATGTATGACAATCTGCAGGAGCGGCTGTACTTTCTATATCATGTTGCATCCGGACAGCCTATGCATGGAAGAGAGGAGGCGTCATCTTTGTTGGTCAACACTCGACTGGATCAACGTAATCTTTATCTGCGTGGTGATTCATTTGTATTCCTGACGTGGTATCATAAAAGTCGAAATATCACTGGCAAGAACAAACCAAGGATGACATTCCTCCCTAAGAGTCATACCTTTATATGGTTCTACTTTTTAGCGTTCCTCCGTCCTACAGCCATGTGAGCACAGTGTCATGCAATTGTCTAACATCTCCATGTGACTAACCAATATTTGATTTGTGTAGATTTTTCCTCAAAGCACTTGGACAGCCAGAGCGTGCTAGGGACATGGCCACCAAAGTCTGGGTCAGTGCCTTGAAAGGGCCTTTGGACTCCTCTGCATTTTTGGCCATCCTGAAACGTCATTTCAGCAAGGGAGGGGTTGCTGGTTTGGGAATCCAATCTTGGAGACATGTCTCAGTTGCCATTGTTGATGCGCACATCAAGCTGCACTGCAACACACTGCTTGCGGATGAAGATGACATGATTGATTGTCAAAGAGGACACAGCACCTTCACTGCGAATTCTGCCTACGGTGGCACTGGAGGTTATCATGTGGACCGGAAATCTGAAGGCCAGTACTTACAAGCAAGTGCAGCAATGCATCGATTCTGGGAGGTGAGTAAGTGTCATTGTCTTGGAGTAGACCAAGAAACTGATTCTTGTGTGGTCAGATTGATGGAATCCGTCAGACTGGTTTTGCGCCCCCTGCCACGGACAAGCCCATTCCCTCCGGTGAACTGATCAACACTGCCCTTCAAAGGTATACCGGTGAAAAGCAGCCACGAACACGAGGACCGTTTCAGTCCAACTGGTTGGCCATGGTATTTGACCGTCATTACGACATGTTAGTAGTTGCTAAAACTGGTGGTGGGAAGTCATTGGCATACATGCTACCTCCGTTAGTCGAGTACAAAGGGGTGACAGTGATTGTACAGCCGTTAAAAGCGCTGGTAAATGAGACCGCTGATGAATTACGTCGAATGCGTGTGTCTCATGTGAAGTACAAGAGTGGCGACAAGATAGCTAATTGGACTCGAGCTGTTGTGTGTACAACCGACAAAGCGGCCACAGAAGAATTCTTTGAGGCTATTAGGGGTTTGCAAATCAACCGTGTCATCATAGATGAAGCCCACTGCTACGAGGACGATGTAAATTATCAAGGTTATGCCCCTGCTGTTGGAAGACTCCGCATTCTCAATTGTCCCTTTGTGTTCATGACGGCGACTATGCAAGTGGGGCATGAGGATACATTATTCAATGTATTTAGTGTGCGTCAAGTACAAGTAGAACGGGAGCCAACTGGCCGGCAGGAACTGCGCTGGGAAATTATGCCTGGGGACATGGATTGGAAGTCCATGATTAAACATATGGGGACGGTGGCTACTTGGCGCGAATTGGAAGAACGTGACCGCAACATTATCTTTATTGAAAACATTGCTGAATGTGAATCAACAAAAGAAGACCTTCAAAAGCTGCATCCCGACCTGATTACGACTCTCTACCATTCTAGGCTCAGCCCCGAGACAGCAAAAGCTAATGTTATGATGTGGAAGACTACACCAAAGTGCCTGATGATTGCCACCAGCGGATTTGGAGCGGGGATCAACTACAAGCATGTCCGCAACGTGATGATTCTTGGTTTACCTGAGGACGGCACAGATGTCAACAAGTGTTTTCAAGAGGCTGGGCGCGCAGGCAGGGATACCGCACCGGCAAATGTGTGGCTTTATCCAATAGGCAAGCCGGAAAAAAATTCATTTGCAGAGCGCTTGATTGAAGGACAGAACTGTTTGATTGGTACCTTTGCGGAGCTGCTTGATGGGATGCATAGGACATGTGCCGATGTGGGACGCCCAGCCAAATGCAACCACTGTGTTGCAAATGAGAATGCAAACCACAAGCGCCAGGTAGAGGTAGAAACAGAGGAGGTTATGCCAGGCACCCGGCCAATGTATGAGTCCAATGTGAAGAGAGCCAAGATGGCGGATTTGATTTTGAAACAGATTGGTCATACAATTCTGAAGTTGCGTAAAGAGATGGCAGGCAAGTGTGGACACTGTTTTGCCAAAGATTCATCACGAGTGACACATGAAAAATGTGACGGGATAGGAAAATCTTGTGTTAGGTGCTTGGGAGGTGAGTCCACTTCTAAATCCGCACGTCTGCTGATTTGCTGATGGCTTCATATGCACATGCAGGTCACTGGGTTCGAGATTGTCCTGTGTCGAAGATGTCTGACACACTTGGTCATTATGGCAGCAAGGCCAGATTCCTGTGCCACTTTTGTGGCTTACCTACAAAGTGGTTGGAGGAGGAGAGGTTCCACGACACGTCCACTGATGGGAAGCGCAAAAGCTGTGACAGTGGGTTACAGAACTTTTGTGAACCCTATTGCTGGTATTTTTTCCGCCACCGCAAATCCACCCTTGGTAGATTGATCAAAAAGCTTGAGCTCCCTAGTGGGCATGTACCGGTTGAGAAGGCCACTGAGTGTGAATTCCAAGAGTGGCTGGGAATGCCCGGCTGGCTGGGATGTTTGTGGGCAAACATGTGTAGTCTTTTTGCTGTACTTCGTGATGTCCATATCCGTAATCAAGTGTTGTGATTTATCATTTGTGATCAGGTTGGGCAATACAATAGAGGTGCTTTTTTGATGATTGTGGTTGACAAGCTGGAAATGTTTCATGGACATGCTTGGGAATCTACCCTCATAGCCGGTCCAACCCCAATGTTTTGACAACCATCACTGCCACCACATATTTACCTCGCTTGAAACGGCTTTCAATTCCGGTTTCGGACATGTAACACACAGGACATGCGTTTCAACTCAAAACATTGCACAAGAAAGGTCCCCACCAACGTTCGGTGAATGACACTTGGCATACGCAAGTTCAACATCGAAACGTCGCTTGATCTCACTTCCAAGCGACGTATCATGCATGATAACATCACAACGTCGCTTTCAAGCAACGTTTCATGTGTGGATCGTTGTAGATGTCATTATGACATCAAAACGTCGCTCGAACGCGTTTTCAAGCAACGTTTCATGTGTGAAACGTCGCAGACGTTATCTTAACATCGAAACATCGCTCGAACACGCTTTCAAGCGACGTTTCATGTGTGAAACGTCGCAGACGTTATTTTAACATCAAATCGTCGCTCAATCACGCTCTCAAGCAACCTTTCATGTATGAGACGTTGCGAACCCATTTTTGATATCGAATCGCCGACATAACGCGATTAACCCTGCGAGCTTGCAGCTCGCAAGGTTAATCATACCTCAGTCATACCCGTTTTGCAGCGAGTTTTGACGCGCACGTCTAACACTGCCAATATGTAACACCACAAACATCAACTCTGGTCCGGCCATTCAACGACTCAGGCAGGCGAAAACCTCGCTGGACGCTACACGTTGTGCCATGTGCTAGTTGACCAATCAGGAGCTCTGTTATTCCATATATCTGCATACTTTCGTAACCAAATCACTATGGGTCTATGACTGTTCAAGAGACAAGGTGCCCAATCAATATTACACATTTTTTCGTCATCCCAAGTTTAATACTTGAAAATACCGCTTAGCTATAACCTGAAGCTGTGTGAGATCAGGTACCATCAAGATTATGCATCAACTACCAATCTGCATTGGCTGGTGCACAATGCAAGTACGTAGCGATGGAGCTGTGTTGATATGTAACAAAGGAGGTGTGCAGCTATGTGGCACAGCACATAGGCAGTTGTTGTGTAGCTATGTGCTATCTAGGCAAGTAGCTATGTCACTATGTGGGACATATCACATAGGCAGTTGTGTGGCTGTGTGGCTATGTAGTTGCGTAGCCATGCATTCATGTAGCTGTGAATTTGTCTACCTATGTATGTATGTTGCAGGGTGAGTGCTGCTTGGCTACATGACTGTGTGTGTAGCTGGTTGTCTGTGTAGCGAGTTAGCTGTGTAGCTAACTAGCTCTGAGGTGGTCTAGCTGCGTAGCTACACAGCTAACGAGGTAGGTAGCTAGGTAGCTGTGTAGCTTGGTAGCTAAGTAGCTACTAGCGGTGTAGGTAGCTAGTTTAATGGCTGAGGTGCAAGTCCTCAGTACCCATGTTGGTAACCTGCCTGCAGTTGTTCATGCATCCAATGGTTCTTGCAATAGGAGTTCACAACCGTGAACCTTGGTCACTGTGGCCCATGTTGCCATTGGTACATGTTGTGGTTGTGTAATCGTCTGGGTGTCTTTTAGCAATGCCTCATTGGTACAAGACACCCAGAACATTGAAAATGTTTTGGCATTCATCATCTTGCCATGCAACCAAATATGTAAACCAATATATCTTCTCCCTTTGGACATGTAATCCTTTGGCTAAGCCTAACCCTAGGACATGTCAGTGTAGGACATGTAACCGCTTGTACTTGGGTTAGGGTTAGGTGTGTAACCCGTTAGGTGTGTAACCCGTGTGGTGTGTAACCCATTAGACGTGTAAGCCGTTAGGTGTGTAAGCGGTTAGCCGTGTAACCCGTTAGGTGTGTAACCCTAGCTACCGCATCCCTGATGCGAGGCCTCACATCCGGGACGCACAGGACGCAAATGGCTGGGGTGTGTCCTGGTCAAGCTGATGCGAGATAAGAGCCCTAAATTCCCGGACGCAGCGTCCAGAAGTCCGCCGAGATGTGTATTTCGGCGGGCTTTTGATGAATTAGCACAGAATACTCCACAGATACGCAACTGAAGCATTATACCAAACGGAGAAACATCCGCCATACCTTCAATACATCACAGCTTCGCCCATTCTGCCAATACTCCGCCGAGAAGACAATTTCGGCGGACTTTGTGCACATTTCATCACATAATACCTTCCAATGCGTAATTGAGGCATTACAGGCCACTTGAAGGAACGATGTAGCATCAACTAATTAGTATGACCACCCTTGAAAATCAATATCCACCTTGGCCACATGGAATAACTGTCATATCTCCGCCGAGATTGGGGGTTCGGCGGGGTTTAGTCAATGTGAATCTCTGACCTGATCCATGCAAATGGAGGGAATACCTTCCACCTGTAGCCCCTACTTATTGAACCACCAGTTTACACTGTACAGCATTGCATGTGATGTGGATGGTCAAAAGTCCGCCGAAACAGTGACCTCGGCTGGCTTTTGCACAATACATACCAGCACATGTTTTGAAATGGCGGAGGATGTCTGCCGGGTTTGTGGTCAGTGAAGTGTTATGTTGAATCAGGACATAAGCATCCCTCACTGTATAAGCATATTATGATCGTATATGCTTATAATGAGGGCTAAAACATACATGACATCACAAACACCCCCATTATAAGTGTGAAATGAAAACCCAAGGCAGGACAAACCCAAGTACAACACCCAAAAGTCCAATATGAATGAGAAGTAATGAGACAGAATGAGATCTTGATGGAATTGAGAACAACATAAGAGAGTTGTGATGAAGATGGCAATGTAATCCATTGGAAATGGTGAAGCAAACAGTTATGATGACCATGTGGACAGGTTGGACAATCCGTTGAGAGATTGAGGGGGCAGTCGATGCTGAGAAAGGGCATTGTGTACAATATGTATGTTGAATATGTTTTCAAAGATATACATGTGTGGAAAAAAAGAAACAAGATGTAACCCATGGGTATAGTGGAGAGAAAACATTTGAGTCGTTTGAAAGGAGGAAAGGGGATGTAACCCGTTGGTGTAGGTAAGAAATGTATGCAAAATGAAATAAGTGGAATGTGAAGTGTAGGAAAAGGAGGTGATTGTGAATGGCGTGGAGTGGAAATGACAGGTAGGAATATAAGTTGGGGTAAAAATAGTAGAGTGTGATGAAATGACAAAATGTGAGTGTAGAGGGAAAGTATAAATAGAAATGTGGTTGGAATGTGGAGATGAAGAAGTGTCAGTATGTGAGTTGAGAAAAGAGGAAGTGAGAGGGTGAACAGAGGTGAAATGGGTAGGAGATTAGTAAGTTGAGTAAAATAGGATGATGTAGAATGAATGTGGTGAAATGATAGGTGGAAATGAGGAAATTAGGAATATGAATATGTGTGGAATTAGTGGTGAATTGAGAGTTGATATGGGAAAAAAAATAAAGGTTAGGAGGTGAGGAGATATATGAATGAGTTGGATGATGGGTAATTAAAAGATTGTGAAGAGGTGAGAAAGAATAATGTAGAATATAGAAGAAATTCGAAATGGAGGGAGTGATTGGAGATGAAGGTACGTAAATGAAATAATGTGAATAAAAAAAGGGTTGTGAGTTGTGATATAAGAATGATTGGAAAAGTGGTAAGGTATGTTGGGAATGAATTGTAATAGAGATGCCAGTTGAAAAATATATTGGAGTAGGTTGGATAATGTAAAATGTGGAAGGATGTGTAAGATTGTGGTTGAATAGTAGGGGATTGATTGTATGAATTAAAATATTGATGGGAGTTGAGAGATATAAAAAGGGATC